TCTCACCCTAAAGCACATAGCCCTGGCTGTCTTGGAACTCACTCACCCTGTAGACCAGGCTGTCCCTCAAACTCAGAGATCCTCCTGCCTCTGCCTCCTGAGTGCTGGGATGAAAGGCATGCATCACCTCCACCTGGACAGCCATAACTTTTAAAATTAAGAAATAAAAATCTTTTCTCCTTTTTTTAAAAAGATGTGTGCTCCAATGGTAGAACTTTCACGTCTTACAATCTACAATCTAAATTTCTTTCATACACACGTCCTCTTGCATTGAATGCCCCTTCTTCTCCCACTGTGGTATTCACCAAAAAAGCCACCATACAAGCGAAAGAGATGGTCTGTACATGGGAAAGGAAAACTGCCATGTATTGTGAGAGGGTGGGTGGGAAGATGGGTAAAAGGAAGTGGTTCACGTGAGGAGGCCGTGAGGAAGTCCATTTTGGAGGAGGGACACAGGCTGAGCCAGATGTCCTGTCCTTACTAGGTGTTTTCCTATATCAATGGGGATGTGTTCAGTAAACCTCGAGTATCCCTTGTCCATTCTATCACCACGCGGAATGTGTCCCTGAGGCTGGAGGCCCTTCAGGAGGAAGACTCTGGAACCTACCAGTGTTCTATCAATGTGAAAGATGGTGGAAGCACAGGCATGGGTCACAGCAGCAAAAGCATAGAGCTCAAAGTGCTGGGTGAGTAAGGAGGGCATATCTCTGGGTCCCTTCCCACTCCAGCACAAGGGAGGTCAGAAAGGTCTCCCTCTCAAGTGGCTGAGTATAAGACCCGGGAATGAAATGTGGAATTACAAGATTGCTGAAGGGGAACCTGGGGGTCCTTAAGGTAAGGGTTGTAACCTATCTTCCCTTCTCTAGTTCCTCCAGCTCCTCCATCCTGTAGTTTCCAGGGTGCACCCTATGTGGGGACCAATGTGACCCTGAACTGCAAGTCCCCAAGGAGTAAGCCTACTGCACAGTATCAATGGGAGAAGTTGGCCCCATCTGCCCAGGTCTTCTTTGGACCAACCTTAGGTAAGGAGGTAAGGGGATTTCTAGAGGTCACTGACATAGTGACTACAGATGGGGGAGGACGAGAGGCCTCTCGCAGACTGGGGTGACAAGGTAGGCATTGCAGAAAAGGACAGGAGGTGTGGGAAGGGGTGGAAAAGATGTCATATTAAGTGTAGGTGCTATGCGCAACGCTTCCAAGAACTTTCGCACATAGTGGTCCTGAGGTCTGGAGCTAAACTGCTTGCTGCTTCAAATTCCAGTCCTGCCACTCAATAACTTTGTGACTATACTCCCATTCCCTTATTTGTAAAATGAGATTTATACACACCAGCTATAAAAAATGTTTGGGGGAATTTGTGTGTGTGTGTGTGTGTGTGTGTGTGTGTGTGTGTGTGAGAGAGAGAGAGAGAGAGAGAGAGAGAGAGAGAGAGAGAGATATGCTGGCAATTGAACTCATGACCTTGTACATAAAAGGCAGGCACTCGAATAGTGAGTCACACCCCAAGCTTCTTAAGTTTTTTTAGAGTCTTGCTATGTAGCTAAGGTTGGCCTCAAACTAATGACCTTTCTGCCTTAGCCTCCTGAGTGCTGGGATTACACTACTATGCTCAGCAACTGGAATATTTTAAGTATAAGTATTAGATAACTTCAGAAGATCATTACTAATTGCTGAGGCTTTGCAGTAGTATTGTGATTGTATAAAATAACAGGGTTTCTTTTGAGACAGAGGCCCACTATGTAGATCTCTGGCTGCCCTAGAACTCGCTATGTAGACCAGACTGACCTTAAACTCCCAGAGATCTGCCTCCCTCTGCCTCCAAAGTGCTGACATTAAAGCTAAACATAACCACACCTAGCTTAATCGATATTGTTTTTGAAGATATATTTTGGAGTATTATTTTAAATAAGTTATTTATTACCATTATTATTGTGAATGATGGGTGTGTGAGTGTGTGTGCTATGGCACACGATAGAAGACAACTTTGTGGAGTTGATTCTCTCTTTTCACTTTTGGGTGAGTTTCAGGGACTGAATTTAGATGGCTAGGCTTGTGTGGCAAGTGTTTTTACTCACCGAACCATCTCATTGGCCCCCAAATATTACTTCAAAATGTCAGTGGGAGAAGAGGAAGAAATAACATAAGTAAAGCAAAGTGTTAATTACTGGGTGTAGGTGTGGGTATAAATATTTTCTTTTTTCCCCTTTTCTACTTTTCACTGAACCTATTTATTTTTGTTTTATTGGTGTATGGATGGAGCCCAGGGTCTTTGACACTCCAAGCATCAATTTTACTACTGAATTAAACCCCTGAGGCCCGTTTGACTTTTCTCCTCAAATAGAAATTGAGTGTGTATGCTTGAGCACCCATGTGAAGGCCACTGTCACTTGGTATCACTCTTAGGGGCTATCTGCCCTAGGGTTTGACACAGGGTCTCTCATTGGGATTTTTTTTTTACTGATTTGTCTAAGACGTCTGGCCAGCACTTTGCTGAACTATTCCCCTAGCCCCACATTTGAGCATTTAGTAAGCATATAATAATTCAGAAAGGGCTCCGTGAATAGGTATTTTTTGTTTGATAAACTAGTATAGGTAAAGACCTCAGGCTGGACTTCAGCACAGTCAATAGTCAAATGATCAGAATGGTTAGTCTATACAGTCTTCTTAGCCCCACCAGGTAAGGAGCATTCACAGAAGAAGAAGTGGGGACCCACAAGGCTCACATAGGGTGTTTGTGATCTCAACATTTCTAGTTCCTAATTAAATGTTTTTTTTTTTCTGCCCCCTTTCTCCCTTCACATTTGTTGCCTTTCCGAAACAAATGTCGAAACCATGCTTTGGGTTTCTGTGTGGCACTTCCTATTAAGATATCAGTCGGAAGTACCTAGTATAGAAATGGAGCAGGGGTTGAGTTAGTCTGTGTGCAGAGCCCAGAGTGTTGCCACATTCTTCAGACTCATAAGGCCATGGATAAGCAGCGACTTTCAGAGACTCAAAGAGGGCATTCCAGAAGTAGGGCACGGTGTATATGCTTTCTTAATGGAAACGTTGGCCCTTGGACTGATAGCTAAATTGTGTCCATAGATGCCGTCCGTGGATCCTTAAAGCTCACCAACATTTCCACTTCCATGTCCGGAGTCTATGTCTGCAAGGCCCAAAACAGAGTGGGCTTTTCCAAGTGCAACGTGACCCTGGAAGTGATGACAGGTCAGTGAGGGGTAAGTGTGGTGAAGAAGTGTGGTCAGTGGGTGGCTTTGCAGGAAAAGAAGAAGCCTGTCTGCTGAGGCTTCTCACTGAACCATGACTGGGCATTGAACACGGTCAAAGCCCGGTCAACATTTGGTCAGTGTCTGGCCATTTTCTACCCCTAACAGAGAAAAGGGCGAACGTAATGGTGATAGTTGAGTAGTGGAGCACGAGTGGACAAGGGATGGAAAAGTGTCCCTCCCCCTGACACTAAGGATTTTTCAGGGTCTAAGGCTGCTGTGGTTGTCGGAGCTGTTGTGGGCACTCTGGTTGGGTTGGTGCTGCTGGCTGGACTGGTCTTGTTGTACCAACACCGGACCAAGACCCTGGAGGAGCTGGCCAATGACATCAAGTAGGTGTCCCTGACCTTTGAGGAAGTGGGAACTCTTCTGACTTTTCTCTGGAGCCTGGGATTCAGGCCTCTGCCAATTTTAATGAAAAGATGAACGGGAACCATAGCAACATTCTTTTTTTTTGTTTTGTTTTGTTTTTTGTTTTTTGTTTTTCGAGACAGGGTTTCTCTGTGGCTTTGGAGCCTGTCCTGGCACTAGCTCTGTAGACCAGGCTGGTCTCGAACTCACAGAGATCTGCCTGCCTCTGCCTCCCTAGTGCTGGGATTAAAGGTGTGCGCCACCATCGCCCAGCCCATAGCAACATTCTTGAGAGAAGATTTAAGGGAAGAGAAAACGGGAATTGGTGTATGTGTGTGGAGGGGCAGAAAGACAGACAGGTAGGAACTTTCCCCTTTCTCCTTTCGGCTTCTGATGTGTTGCTTCTTTGATGATCAGGGAAGATGCCATTGCTCCTCGGACCTTGCCTTGGACCAAAGGCTCAGACACCATCTCCAAGAACGGAACACTTTCCTCCGTCTCCTCAGCACGGGCTCTCCGGCCACCCAAGACTGCTCCTCCAAGACCTGGCACATTTACCCCCACACCTAGCATCTCTAGCCAGGCCCTATCCTCACCAAGACTGCCAAGGACAGATGGACCCCCACCTCAGGCAGTATCCCTGAGCCCAGGTGGGGTTTCTTCTTCTGCCCTGAGCCGCATGGGTGCCGTACCTGTCATGGTGCCTGCTCAGAGTCAGGCTGGGTCTCTCGTGTGATGGTCCAGGCCCCATTGACTAAATCTGACATCTCACCTTCCTGTGACACAGAGGACTGAATCTTGGGGGGACAACCACACTCTAGACCTCCAGTCCTCTGCCCCTACCTCCCTTTTATTGTTGGAAAACTGGGCATCAGTAAGATCAAAGTCTGGGTCAAATGAGAAACAAAGGAAATGGGCCCGAGGTGGGGGGTGGGCTCCACCTCTTCCCTGCGAAGCCAGATGAATGTTGCTGAGACTGGCCACCCTCCAAGGGCCCTGGAGGAGACTGCCAGTCAGTGAGGCCCCTGGCTCTGTGGTCTGTAAAGACACCCTGTCGAATGCTGTCCTTTGCTTCCCACTCCAGCTCCCTGTATTAATATAACCTGTCCTGCTGGCTTGGCTGGGTTTTGTTGGAGCAGGGGGATAGGGAAGGCGATTTAAAAACTAACTTGAACTCAGTGTTTTTGTTTTTATTTTGCAAATTTCAATAAAGATACTTGGCATTTTCATGGACTAGTAATCAAATCACTTTTGCTAACTAGGGCTTCACAGAACCTGAGTTGTGGGAGGCTATGCAGTAGATCTTAACCTATTCAGGCTGTGCGTCCAGAAGACTTTATACGACCGCGGGGCTTATTGACTTTTAGATTTTTTTTAGAGTTTGTAGAAGGGCCATTCACTGTTGTATGGAAAGGGAAGGTGCCAAAAGCCCGAGGTTGAGTAGCCCCTAACCTAACCTGAGCAACCGGAGGTTGGGGGGGTGGAGAGGTGGGAGGAAGATGAAGAACCAGGGCACTTGTTGCTGGTGCCCTGGGCACTGCATTGCTTTGCTCTTTGTCTCCAGGGCTGAGGAGAGGAGCCTCACCTGCATTCTCTTTCCCATTCCTCTGCATCTGTAAACAAACACAACTTCCTACTCTTTGGGTAGCTATCCCCTTTGCTAGTTGAGGAAAGACTTAAGATGTGGTGCAGTGGGGGATCTTCAGACCTCAGTTTCTCTGTCCTTAGTGGCTCTCAGATGGAGATGTGGGTGTCGCTTCCCTGAAGAGACTCTTACTTACCCTTGTCGGTGGTGGGAAGGAGATCTCTGAAGAGTCCAGGACCCCCTTAGCTCCCAGGAATGCAAGCTTGCTGACTACGGCCCCCAAGGTGACACCTTCAGTCAGTGGGTATCAGAATGCCTTCTCTCCTGCCAAACACACTTTCCTAGCAGAGTTCCGGTTATAAATCCTTGTCTTTAGCGTGCACTACCCAAGCCCCGCTCCTTCTCCAGAGCCTGGAAGCTTCAGAAATTAGGGGGAAATTAGGGCGGAAGAAGGATCCCAGAATCGGGCCTGGTGGAGGGAGGAGCGTTTCCCTTACTTGGGGATGCCCGCCTCTGCCCTTGTTTGCTCTGAGATAGCCAGTCTCTCTCCTGCCCAGCACAAGGCGCTGCCCTTGGGCTTTCCTATACTCTTCCGTCCACCGACTAACAGACGACAGGACCAGGAGACAGTCGTGACCATGGCCTGGGCCCTGGTGGGGGCTTTCCTCTGCGGATCCTTGCTGGGCTTCGTGTGCCTGAGCGGTGAGGAGAGGCTGGGAGGGCTGAACCTAAGCAAGAGCGAGCTGGGGGCAGGGCGGGGCTTACCTGGCCAGCTCCTTCCATTAGGCCAGGAGCCATTGTGCCAGGTTGGGAAGGGGCCACTGAAAGCAGGGAGGAAGGAGCAGGGAGGCAAGCTGGCCGGCTAATGAATTCAGCCTCTCTCACCATCTAAGGATTTACCACCGCAGGGCCTTTTCTTGTTTCCTTTTCTGTCAATACATCCTCATACCTGGCCCAGTCTTGGACCTTTTACACACAAAAACCGGGTTGGGTCGTGGGCTCCTCCCTCCCGGAAACCTCAAGTTTCAGGAGACAAGGGGTTGAATTGAAGGAGGTGTTGCACTGTGGCAAGGGAAGCCCCAGAATCTAAACAATCACGGTAGTGTTGGAAGGACCCTCCAGATCGGTGGGATTGGATTCCTCAGTCCCAGGGCTAGCCGTGGAGGTGACCGTGCCCACTGAGCCACTGAGCATGCCCAAGGGCAAGACAGCAGAGCTGAGCTGCAGGTACAGCACGTCCGTGGGGAACAACTTCGCTTTGGAGTGGAGCTTTGTCCAGCCTGGGAAACCCATCTCTGCATCTCTTCCTGTGAGTCAGGGCAGCTGTGCCTGCTGGGGTTGGCCAGGATGAAGGTGGGGAGGGCGTTTACCTCCTGGGGCTTCAGCTACTTTGGCCCTACATTCTCCCTTCCTTTCCACAGCTCCTGAGTTCAATTCCCCTTAGCAAGCATAACCTGTTTCAGTTAACAAATTCACAGAACCCGAGGTGGTGTGGTTGATAGTATAGTATACATAGGGGACATGAACACCTTGGGCTTCTTCTTAGATACTGTACTTCACCAATGACCACCTGTATCCCACCGGCTCTAAAGCAGATCGGGCCAGCCTTCTCCACAACCCCCCCACAGGAGGAGTGGCTACTCTGAAACTGACTGACCTCCGCCCCTCAGACACTGGAACCTACCTCTGCAACGTTAACAACCCCCCAGATTTCTACACCAATGGGTTGGGGTTAATCAACCTTACCGTGCTTGGTAAGGCTCCTACCTTCTAAGTGTGCACTGACCCTGCCCAAACCCCCCCCCCCCACACACACACACACACTCCTGTCCTGATTTGAAGTCCAAGTCCAAGTACACAGTTGCACTGGGAGCCTCCAGAAAAAGTTACCCCTTCCCAAGACTTTTAATCTAGATGGTTATACTTCAACTCCACCCCACAGTATCTCCCTTAGGGCCTAGTATCAATGTGCGGGGGAGGGGAGGAGGAAGAGAGAGGGAAGGAGAGAGAGAGAGAGAGAGAGAGAGAGAGAGAGGAGAAACACAAATAGAAAGAGAGGAAAGCAAAGAGAGAGAAAGAGAACCAATTATGGGGGGGGGCTCAGCCATACTCCACTAGCTCCCCCCATTCATTCAGAAACCTCATATTTGGATTCTGTCGCACCCAATGTCAGTGACAAAGAAGGGAAGGGGCCATTAGAGGAAGAAAGCCTCTATAACTGAGTACCATATTGTGTTCAGAGCTTCCATCTCACCCGAAGTCAGAGCCTGTTCAAAGCTGAGCAAGAAGTTTTGAGAGCAGACAGGGATATTTATATAAAAAAGAGAATACCTAAGATATGGCGTGTGTCCTGTATATTCAAATATCTGAAGGGACTTGATGTGGAGGAGAAACTGTAATTTCTCCATTTATGGGCCCCGGTGGCAAAAACTGTAATTAATCAGCGCCTATTGTATTAACAACGTGCTTGGGCTCAGAATGAGGAAGACCTTTCTAAGACTCAGAATCCCCGGCAGTGGAAATCACTCCCGAGGTATGAACCACGACTTGGCGAAGATGTTCAAACAGAAAATGTTGACCTCATCAGGTCTGGGATGGGAGGATCACTGAGGTTCTGTGAATTTTGCAGTGGCCCCCAGTGAGCCCGTATGCAGCCACAGTGGGCAAACCTCGGTGGGAGGCTCTGTTGCACTGAGATGCACCTCCTCCGAGGGAGCGCCCAAGCCCGTGTACAACTGGGTCCGGCTCGGATCTTCTCCTACACCTCCTCCTGGTAGCATGGTTCAAGGTAAGAGTGCAGGGCATTGGGGAGATGGGGTTGGAGAGCTAAGATGGGGTCTCTAAACTCCACACCCCACACCAGTTCATGACTAAGGCCCTTTGCCCCCTTCCTTGTATTCATGCCTTCCTGTCTGTCTTGCTGCTGCTGCTGCTGCTGCTGCTGCTGCTGCTGCTGCTGCTGCTGCTGCTGCTGCTGCTGCTGCTTGGGAAATACTTCTAAATATCCTGATAGCCTGGAAGAGTAGGGGGCAGGGAACTGTCTTCCAGTTCCTATTTGTCCACTCATTGGGGATTTCTTAAGGGGTCACAAATTGCTTCCAAACCCCCTAGAGGAAGCGAGAGAGTAGCATGGACTGCCTCAAACATTTGATAGGTTTCTTTGGAGAGCCTTAGTTTCCTTTCGTTGGTTCCAGATGTCCTGTTTCATTCTGTAGCTACCATTCCAGGAAAGCCCTTTATCCAGCAAGTTTCCTCCCCTAATTCTCTGCCTTCTGAGGCAGCAGAGTCCAGAAAAGCAGTTGGGTCAGCTTACGGCTATTCGAGAAGATGGATGTTTAGTTATTAAGACTTTTGCTACCATCCAGGATCTGAGCTCATCCAGTAAACACCCCATCTTGCATTTCACCTTCCTGTACACGCAGTTTCTCCTCCTCGGAGAAAGCAGCTGTATGGGGGTGGCAAGGTTGCAGAAGCTGTACTGGCTTTGGACTTCCTCTCTGGGTCTTCTCAAATTACTCCCCTTGAGCCAGGATTCCCTCCAATCAAAGGGGTTAGACCTTTCTTGGTAGATTGTTTTAAGGAAAGAATGCATTGAGCTATCGTAGTGGTAGTATGGCCTCATGTGAGTTGAATGCATGGTAGCTCACTTCCTTCTCATTCTCTAGATGAAGTGTCTGGCCAGCTCATTCTCACCAATCTCTCTCTGACCTCCTCTGGCACTTACCGTTGTGTGGCCAGCAACCAGATGGGCAGTGCCTCCTGCGAGCTGGACCTCTCAGTGACTGGTAGGGGATGCTGTGTAGAGCCTTGTGGGAAAGGTTTGGCTTGGGAAGACTACATGACATTCTGAGAGTGGGCCCAAAACTTTGGCAACTCTGAAGGTCCTGTCTCCCTAGACTCATCTGAAGGCCGAGTGGCCGGGACGCTGATTGGGGTGCTCCTGGGTGTGCTGCTGCTGTCGGTGGCTGCGTTCTGCCTGATCAGGTTCCAGAAAGAGAGGAAGAAGGAGCCCAAGGAGACATACAGGGGTAGTGACCTTCGGTGAGCAGGGAAACCGGCATGGTGCCGAGGGATGTCTTTAGCCTTCAGGCTGATGTCATTGGAAGTAATTAAGGATGGGAGTTGGTGCTCAGCTCTGGCACAGGATGGAGGAATGGGTTCATAACCTAAGATAGGAATAGCTCAGTTTGCAGGACTGCCCTGATGATACAAATATACGTGTGTATGTGATCATACAGGTAAGTGTGCACGTATGTGGCCAGAAGATAAGCTGGCCTTTCTGTTGTGTTAGATAAAGGTTATCTATTGTGTGTTCATGTTGAACCTGTGTGGAGGGGTATATGTGCTCTGTCACCCATGTGGAAGTTAGGGGACAACTTTGCTAGATGGCAAGTGAGCCCCAGGGATCCACCTCTCTCCATCTTTCCAGTTCTGGAATTATAAGCTCGTGCCTGACTTACTTTACAAGGATTTTGGGGTTGAACTTTAAGGTCTCCTGCTTAAAAACGAAACACCTAGCTCACAGAGCCATCTCCTCAGCTCTTGGGACAGCTCTTAAAATGTGGCCCTCACATGGCCTAGAGAAATCCACTAGGAACTTGTTTTAAACACTCAGATTTAGGCCATTTTCTGTGCCTCCTTAGGCAAAGTGTGTATGTCAGGGGAGACAGGGCCTGGACTCTCTTAATTTTAAACAAAGTTCTGGAGATGATTCTCAGGAGAGCAAAGTTTAAATGTTCCTGGGTTAGGGGATGACAGTTGCCTGAAGGATGATGTTTCTAGCCTCGGTATGTCTTTGCTTGTATCCTTCAGGGAGGATGCCACAGCACCTGGGATTTCTGAGCAAGCTTCTAGGAGGGCCGATTTCAGCAAAGGGCTCCTGGAGAAGTCCCCATCCACCAGCATGGTGACGACCAAGTCCAAACTCTCTATGGTTGTCTGACTTCTGATCCCTGAGGGTGGTGAGGGGTAATGTTAATAATTAAAGCCGTTGGATAACATGTTACCTCCTTTACTGGTGTGGTGAATTCCTCTCCTCTCCGTGACCCAACGAGTATTACCAGTAAGGGGAGGAATGGATCTGAAAGTTCAGAAACGATGCTCAAGCAGGAAGTTCGGCTGGGTCAAAAGGATAGGTTTCAACTTAGGTGTCTTTGCACACCTTTCGCCCTTCAAATCCGTTTGTTTCGACTCCCATTAGAGACTTGATGCAAACCCTTCCCCCCCTCACTTCCCATTCCCTCCCGCCTCCCACCCTGCACCCTCTGAACACTTGGACATTCCTCTTTATTGTTCACATTCCAACCCAGAATGGTAACATGCACACGCAGAGATTAAAAACCTTCCAGCCACAACCCCAGGAGCCCAGCGGGGGGGAGGGGCTATCTGGGGGCAGGGCCGCGGAAGACTCCTCCTACCGAGCCTCCAGGCGCAAGGAGGCTTTTGCATAAACAAAGGAGAGCGGAGGGGCTGCTCTCGGGTGCGCTCGGAAGGAAAAGTGGGTGACCGGCAGGTGTGGGATAGGACTTCCCTTCCCATCAGAGCAAGGGGCAAGACACCATGAAAACCCTCTTCCCCTCTTTCCTAGCCCCAGGTTTAAGGAGTTGAGGCTAGGCTGGGGTGACGGCACAAAAACTCGGGGCGCCCCCTTTCGTTGCCCACAGAACGAAAGGACTTGTGATGGTTGCTTTTCTTTTTTTCTTTTTCTTTTTTGAGAGTACTTGGGCGACGCATTGGGCGCCCTCTGCAGTACGCGCAGCGAAGCGCACCGAGGCTTGCGGAGGCAGAGCTGCATGCTGGGCGCAGGGACAGGTGGGTGTGAAGCAAAAGGACAATTTTGCGAATATGGGGTTTGGGATGAGGGTGGGGAGAAAAGGTGAAAGGGGGCCACGTTAGACTGGAGAGCTAACTAAATGGGTACGGACTTGGCGACGTCGCGACGAAGCCAGCCTGGAGAGGGAGTCTCGTCGGCGGGGCGAGGTGGTGGGGAGGGCTCCTGAAGCTGGCTGGTTGGTGGGAAGGAGAGGATCACAAACACAGTAGGGAAGTCTTGTCACTGCGAAGGGGACGCGGCATCCATCTCTCCTCTGGAACTGAAGAGAGAGAAGGTCTGAGAATCTGCCCCCTGCTAGAGCCATCCCCCACCTCCCTTTCGTGGTGTGTCACCCACACGCCCTCCCCTGCTCACTGAGTTGAAATTAGCCCCGGGGCTGGTACGTGAGTGAGCCTCTCCTAGTGCTATGGCCCTCGGCTGCGCTTGTGCAGTCAAATGAGGGTGACTGCGTGTCTGTGTTGGTTCATGTGTATTCCTACTGCAGCCTCAGGCATCTCGGCATACCAGAGGGTCTGCAAAGTTATGTTCCGTGACAGGGAGGGGTTAACGGCAAGCAGAGAGGAGGACTGGGCAATGGGGTCATTTCTCCCACCCAGCATCCTCCCCTACACACTTTGCAGCTTTGGAGACGTATTGATTACCTTCTAAAACGTTCATTTCTTCGATTCAAGGTGAGGCAGAAGAGAGGGAGGAAGAGACAAGTGAGCTCTAGGCACATTAGCATCCTTGGCCTTCTCTCACCCACCTGTCTCGTTGTCCTAGGTCACCACCCTTAACTTCCTCCACGTTCTTCTCCACCACCACCCCAATCTTAGCCTACCCAAGCTTTTTCCGAGCAAGTACGAAAACCAAGAGCCTCCGGCCCGCCATGCCCTCTAGCCAGTCTCACCTGGCCTAGTCTCCGCTGGGGCCGCCGCCCGCGCCTCCCCGGGCGCCCCCAGCTCCTCCCGGTCCCCCGGGGCCCGGTCCCTTCCGGCCGCACTCTCCGCTCTTTATCTTCTTCCTTGCCATGTGGCCTCGGAAACTCGCCTGGATTTTGGCTGCAGCGGCGTTGGCTCCCGGATCATCCAGCGGGATGTCTAGAATATCGTCGTCTGGCTTGGAGCAGGCGCTCTCCTGAGGATGGGGCAGGGATTCTTATAGCTGATAAGGCCCATACTCCCGAGGGGATGGAATAAATTAGTGCCCTGGAAGATTGAGAGGACCTCGAGGGCGGTGGGAGAAGCAGAGCTGGAAGCCTCTGAGGGACCGGTGAGCGCACTTCCTAGGCAGCAGCTACTAAGAAGGTTCTGGGCCGGAGGACACAGGAAGAAAGTGTATGGGAGAAGGGAGAAAGGAGAAAGCCAGCTAGCCCTACTGAAAGGAGCTTTAGTTTCAGGGTGCTGTGGAGTTGAGTGAAAAGTCTGAAAAAGCAGCCGCACTCTTTGCTCTGAGAAGATGCCTCCAGCTCAAAAGGGCTCTTCTGCGTATAGGATTCTCCAGGGAGTGAACAAGAATATTTGCTACAAAGCACCCCCACCCCAGTAGTACTGCACCAGCGCTCAAGACTGGAGTTTGGGGAGGAGATGGGGGTCACTGATCCTTGATTCAGCCAGAGGCCCGGATTCTGTGTTCCCATTGGGCTTGCCATTTCCTACTGTGCCCAGAGTTGGACTCACACACCAAAAAGAGGTAAAATAACAATAACAAAAAAGAAACAGGAGGCAAGAAGTTCTTTTGTCAGGGTCCGCAGAAGAAACCAGCCAGCAGCTTCATTTAAGCCCTTACCTTGACCCAGGTGCCACAGTGGTGTTTGTGAAGGCATTTTTAGTTCTTCCTCAACAACAAAGCTGCCACACTCTTTCATGCTTACTTGAGTTTACCATGATAAAAGTCAATGATTAGAATGTCAAAATAAAACAAAAAAACCTACCTGGAGTCCCAGACAATTATCAGCTATTGGTAGATTTGAACCTTGTATGTCAAGTTCTAGAGTCCATTTTCATGCCTAAGAAAGGAAATGCAACCAGCTGACCAGCTTAGCTTTACTCTTGGTTGCAATGGTGTGGTTTTGGGAAGTTTATCTGAGCCTTCTCAGTCTTAACTCTCCCATTTGAAGAAATCAGGATGATAATAGTCACCTCTGTGGGTTCTGGAGAAGAGTAAAATCACATGGTATCCAGAAAGTTTCTGGCATAATCTAGCTGATCAGAAAACAGTAGCTATGCTATGATTATCTTGGAAAAGGTGATGTAAAATGATTGGTTATGTAAGCCCAAAGTTGTCCTATAACAACAATCTTGCACAGTTTGTCCTAATAATCCGTCATGTGCCGTGCGATGGTCCGACCAGTGATACATCATGTATATGATCATTTGCATGATGGCAGTCTCTTGGGATCATACCAACTAGTGATGCCATAGCCATCCTAGTTTCATAAATACACCCTATAATGTTTGCACCATTGTGAAGTTTGTCTAATGACATATTTCTCAGAACATAGTCCATCTTTAAGGGATGTATGATATAATTAAAGCCATCTCTATGCCCCAATGTTCCTTCCCTTCCCTTCCCTTTCTTTCACTTTCTCTTACTCCTGCTGTTTCTCATCCAGGGCCTTGCGCATGGTAGGCAAATGGTTACCATTTAGCTACATCCCTACAGAAGGCAGCGTGTGTCCCAGGCAAGCCTTGACCTCTCAGCCTTACTGCCTCTATCCACAGAGCACTGTGGGCATGTTTTCATGTCAGTTTTGGCTCCTCTGTCACCTTGCTCTAAGTGAGACTAGAAAGGATGAAAACCAGACATGGTGGCAGATGCCTGTACTTTCAGTACTATGGAGCTATGATGCCCGAGGAAGGAAGATCAGGAGTTTGAGGAAATTGAGGAGTTGGGCTGCCTGGGATCCTGTCTCAGACACGCACAGACACACCACCACCCCACTACAGACAAAAAAAAAAGAATAAAGAAAGGATGAAGAAATTGATGATATCAATTTCAGAGGCTGATCATTGCAGCATCAGTAATGACCGGGGAGGGGATGTTGCTATGATGTCAGAAGGGCAATTTCTCTTGATCTGCCTCCTAAGGCTTCTGGAATTTTGTCTTTATTTCTTGACCAGAGTGCTCACTGTTTTCCCTGTCTCTTTCTTCTCACATCAGGTGGCCAAGACCTCATTCTGTAAGCTTCTGCCTCATCCTGACCATCAGTTTTGTATCTGATAGTTAGGAACGAGCAGGATACGAGTGAGGATTCAGCGTCCTCTGTCCTTGACAGATTTGCCCTACAAACATTTTTTAATTTTGATATTTTACCTTTTATTATTGTTATTAATTTTGACTTTTCGAGACAGTTTTCTGTGTAGCTTTGGAGCCTGTCCTGGCACTCACTCGCTCTGTAGACCAGGCAGGCCTCGAACTCACAGAGAACTGCCTGCCTCTGCCTCCTGGGATTAAAGGCGTGTGCCACCACCGCCTGGCTAATTTTGATTTATGTTTTGAGACAAGGACTCACCATGTAGCCTTAGATGGCAAGCAACTTGCTGTGTAGGCCAGGCTAGTCTTGAACTTCCCACAGTTCTCCTGCCTCTTAAGTGTTGAAAATACAGGTGTGAGCTACCATACCCATCCTGTAGCTTTCTACTCCAGTAGCCCAAGCCCAAGTTTACAGATGACTCCTCCTCCTCATGTTTCCCCAGCTGCTCTCATTTCCTGGGCCTCAGAGTTCCCGAATTTGTGCTCAAGATGCTTCTCAATAGATTTAAACACAGTTTCAAGGAGTTGCCAAGAGGCTGGTCTGAGTGAGGATGGATGGGCCGAAAACACCCTTTATCTTCCTGTCTTTCTTAGCTCTAGGGCTCACCCTGACATCTTATTCTTCACATAAAATCCAAATCAACTCCTTTGGGTTTTCTGCTTCTCTGAGTGCAAGTCTTTCTTGGAATAGGCTCAGGGAATAGACAGGCATCTCGAGAGAGAGGACAACAAGCACAAACACCGATTCCAGGTCCCCTCTCCTTGGTCTTGGGAACCGTAAAGGCTGCGGACTGATGCGGAGGGGTTGAGTGCTGAAGGAGTGTTTTTCTCCAACCATCCTAACCTGACCTTATCACAACCAGAATCAAAACCTGGAAAAACAAGCAAAGCCACCCCCCACAGGGCTAGCATAAGGCTGCCTGTGATGCTCC